GGGCCATGAGGAGGCTCATTGCGTTCGCTTTGTTGTCGGGCGGTTGCTAATAAGATTTTTAAACGGCAACAAAGTATCCAATCAATGGGGCTTGAATAATGAAAACGGCACCTGCCAAGTTCCCAGGCCACCCCCACGAGCCTAAACACGCACCACGCTTACTACCACACATCAAATTAATATAAACTTTAACCTTATGCAAATAAGATTCATTTCACTATCTTTACTATCCTGGTGGAACTTGAACAGACATAAGTTTAAGTAATTATGCACAATTGTATGTCGTGTCTCAAAAACAGTTATTATGTTTTTTTTATTTATGGGGATTTAAGTTTTATAAAATAAAAAGTAGCTTTTCTATAAACGATAACACATAAAAAAGAAGTATCCGCCAATGTGATTTGACATAGATGTGATAATACAAATAAGTCCAGCCAGACCTAGACGTAGCTTCACAAACAATTAGTGGAGATCGGAGTATTTTCGTATAACTGTTTTTCTGGGTTCCGTACCTCAAAAGGAGAAAACAGAACCCTTATACAATCACTTTGTTGTCCGTCCATCCGTCCGTCTGTCTGACTGACTGTCAAGACCCTTTATCTCGGGAACGCGTGAAGGTATCGGGTTGAAATTAAAACCATATATACGCAGGTCTCCAGTCTCTTGAAGCTGTGAAAAAATTAAATTTCTAAGTTAACGTAAAAGAAACACGGCCGTTTATGCCCCAAAAAAGCATATTGCGACACTGTCAAAGGAATTCATAGGGTCCTTCCCGTTGACAGTAGTACAGGGAAAATCTGAAAACTAAACATTTGTAATTAAATCATAAAAATATAGTCTTATCGAGGTACAATTTCACTTATTAAACACAATTTAAGTAATTATAGGTTTTGGAAACTGAATTTCGGGAAAAGCTCAAAAAAACAGGGAGACTCGATTCTTGAACTATTTATAATATTTACCTACAAATTTGTACAGAATTCTCTGTGGGCAAGTCCGGTTTATAAATTTATATATGCGACGGCCGGATGGCGCCGTGGTTTGTGTAACGGACTGCTGTGCCGATATGGTCGTGGATTCTATTCTCGCTTAAGTGAAACGTTTGCGTGCATGAACATTTAATGTTTAATTTGGTGTGGGTGTTTCTATGTATAATATGGATGTATTTACAAAAAAAAACTATAAATATATATATTTAAGTTTTCTCGTACAAGCTCTGCTTTATTTTCTGACAGATGGCATTGTGTGAATGAGGCAGAATATTATTTTAGATATTATATTAATTTAGTTACATGTTCAACGGAAACAGTTTTGTTTGTTACCGTGGAACGGGAATATAAAAGATTTTCCTGGTTCCTGAGCCTCCAACGTTTACAATTCAAAATTTAATTGCTTATTAGTGATTTTTTTGACAATTATTAGCAAATAAAAGCATAATAGACCAAAGACTTTTCATGAGAAAAAGTAACTGGACAAAGTAGTTTATATAATTAAGAAATGTCTTTTAAAAGACTAAAAAATATCAGATGGATTATTCTTTATATATATATTATTTATAGCCGACGAATTAAGTTCAAATAAAAATGCTATTAATTATTAATAATAAACTCTGTCCAATAGAAAAATATTTTTAGAATGCCGAATGTAGTTCCAAAGACTAGAGCGTTGAAATAAACAAAGAAGAAACTCTAATTTTTATTATATTAATAAACATAGATTACAATTTGAATATACTGTTAGCGTGAAAGTGGCGAGTGAGAGGACAATACACTCTACTAATTAGAGTTACATAATAATAATACTAATAACTTGACACATCTCAAATTAGGCAGAGCCTGTACGCATCACAATAATTCTGACTGCATGGATGGCGTACTGGTTCAAGCAGCCTCCTACTCTCGCCGCTTCCTACTGCGCTGAGTGTTGTGGGTTCGATCTCCACATGGTACAACACTTTGTGTGGTCCACAAATTGTTGTTCTGAGTCTGGGTGTTCTTTGTGTCCGTTTCATGTAAGTCCCGTGCGGCACAAGATTTATTCCTAGTGCGGGAGGTGTCTTTCATCAAAAAAAAATTGTCCTGGGTGGGAATTGAACCCAAACACGTAATTATGACTCGATATTCTATTACTTAACAGGTTTTTTTGTAATGTAAATTCCATTCAGCAAAACTCTAACCGTCATTTTACCAAAACATTTTTTTTGCAATGAATTCAGTGTCTGTCTTTTCAGTGTAGAAAGTGAACCCGCTAATTAGCGTAAATTGGCATAAATGAGCGATTTTTAATATAATGTTATTTTAACCTGTATTTTTCTAGTACGTTACGGCTTGAATATTTACATACATCTAACTAGGTCTAATTGGCAATTAGCCAGAATAACGACACCCACCAATTTCTACGAACTCTTGAGACGAGAGTAAGTTAATAGTAGGTATTAAAAAAACAGCAGCTTTTCTAAAGCACAAGTATTTCCAAAATAAAAATCATCACATTTGCGATTTTATTGTGAATTTAAGTACTTAAATTCTTAATACTTTAGTACTAAAGCACCCGCATTATTTTTGAATCTTAGCGACCTACCTACTTCGTATTTTAACGACAATCTGAGATATTAAAACATAAGTTTATTTATACCTACTTAAGTTAAACATTAATTATAATTAAATATACTTATATTTCCATATACATACATTTAATAGATATATGTAGATATGTATATATAGAAATATAAGTACACCCAAACATAGAACAAATGATCGTGCTCATCACACATTTAATTTTCTTGGGTGGGAATCATACCAATAGGCCCATCATCATAATCATCATCATCATCGACTGCCTTTAATAGTCCACTGCTGGACCTATGTCCAGCAGTGGACTATGCCTCCCCTTATAAAAGAGGTCAAATAGTATGTTATTAAAGATGGCAAACCGTATTATTGACATCTTTTTGCGGACTTAACATCAAGTTGTTCTGTGGTAAATTTTGTGATTTATAAACAAAGCAAAGGTATGCTTTAAAACGTATGCTACAATTGGTCGCTTAGGGTCCCTGCTAAGCGTAATACTAGTATTATGCGCTCGCAAAAGCAAAAACCATCGTGTGTGGTTACGTTAATCATCTGAAACTACTAAGGAGTTCTTAAGACGGTGTAGTTTATAAGTGATAAAGTGTATTTTAATTCTCGAATGACATTGCATCCTGTGATAAACATTTAAAGAAATGCATTTCAATGTCATGTAAATAATGTTACTATCAGATAAGATATGTATATATTGTTTGTTTATATCTAAAGTTAGTGATCTCGTGTAAGAAACATTTTACCGCGATGTAAAAGGATTGATATGAACAATCACTCAACATCTTAAGATAATGGAATAAATACGATTCACTTCCATAATAAGTTAATACACCCATCTACTTAGTAAAAACGGCGTGAGGGGTCTATGGACCACCGGTCGGAACGAAGCAAGCAAGAAGTGTCGGAAAAAAGTCTTGTTATACATTTTTCGGTCTCACTCTGTAACGCGCGATAAGGAACTTCGTTTCATTAAAATAAATTATATTAAACTGTCATAATGTGTCGTGTAAATATAATAAATTATATTATTCTGTAAACTCTGTATAGATTTTTAAAAAAATATTTTACTATTCACATATGTGACACAGTAGCACATTTGGTCCAATAATATCGAAGATGTAGAAACAATACGAAGATGGCCCTTGGGATCGCGTACTTCGGGTGCGATTTAACGAAGTGCGATAGGTGCGCACACGACGCGACCGTCGCTCATTAGCACACACGCCACTACTCGCGCGGCTTACGGATACCCCTAACACGCCACCGCTCCTCGCCCTTATAGCCTTTATTAGACAGAAGTGTAATGGGTTTCCACACGCGCACTGTTACAAACATAACTACACAGTGCTGCAACTGTTTACACTATTGCCGCAATCGCCTTCAACGTCTACCACCTTAATTAATAACGATATGCTCGTTAGTACGACCCGGCTATTATGAATTCATTATTGCTATTTATGAGCCACGACTATTCCATTTATAACGCTTTACGCGTTCAAACAAATCTACAGCTACAACCTTTTATCCTGTTGGACACAGAAATTAAGCAAATTACATTCAGCAAAGCAAATCGTTCTAAAAGAAAGGGCTACTGAAATAATTGTCTACTTTACTCTCGGAGAAATAGAATTACAATCTAAATTAATTACGCTTTTAAAGCGTCCGTTATTCTTAATTAGTTTCTGCACCGCAGCGGAAGCTCCCGCGCCCGACTCGCGCTCTCTTAATGAAGGGTAGTTTCAAATCAGTGCGTTTGATCAACTCTGTGCAGTCTTAATTACGGCACCGTTCCGCGCGGGACAATCCGGTTATTTATGACTACATAAGCTTGATTATTCTTTAATGAATACTTGTTTTAAAACGTTTAATTAAGTTTTATGGCGACAGGGCCGTACAGACGGCACGGGCGTCCCGCCGCTCCGCCGGCCGCGAGCTAATTGGATCGGGTTGACGCACTCCCCGCGACCCGCGCTAACCATCCACCCCTCACCCCGCAGCACCAACACCCGCCCGCACTCTCACCCCGCTCTTAATTGCATGAAATTGCTAATTGGAAAATTTTATAAACGCGGCCACCCGCAGGACTTCGCCCGAACCCAGTGTCCTGACTGAGGGCCTCTAAGAAAAATTAATACAACGGTCAACGTCTTAAGGAGGTTAACTTTGAATTATTCACGAATCAAAATAGCATGGTCGTCTGCTATTTACGTGCACTGGGCGATCCAGAAATAGAGCAGTTTAACTGGTAACTTTGTAAGCAATATGCACAGGAAAAGTTATTTAAGAAACCTCCTATCTTTTGCCGGTGTATAGTATATCATAATATTTCTTTTTCTTTGTTCACAGGGCGTGTAGTTGTGGTGGTCGGTGCGAGCGGCTCCCGCTCCAACCGTCAAGCTGGCAGCGAGCGCGTTGAGCATGAACCCGCACTACCACGGGTACGCGGAGCTGAGCTCGCCGCACCCGCCCTCGCCCGAGGCGGCGTTTTCGGCCAACGGGCACGACTATCCACACAACAACAATAACCCAGCACTGAAAGAATGCGCTGGTTGCAACGGCAAGATTGTCGAAAGGTTTCTGCTGCAGGCCCTCGACCGATACTGGCATCACGGCTGCCTCAAGTGTGCTTGCTGCGGGCAGGCCCTCGCCGACATAGGCCGTTCCTTCTACTTCAAAGGTGGAATGATATTATGCAAAAGCGATTACACAAGGTGAGCCACATGATTTGTTATGTATCAGTTAATTAATCAGAATCGTTCATGTTTCGGCAAGAACTAATTGATACCTTTTAAGGTTTGGCATTCGAAGTGTTCGACTCCGGATCGATCGTTCTCATTGATCATCAACAAAAGGTTTAGTTTTTACTCTGTCATTTGACAATGACAATGGTGTGTCTGTCAAACGCATCGCTCCAAAAAAAGTATGTTGAGAAAGCCACAGGCGCATTGTTATGAAAATGCTTTAAGCCGTTGTGTTTTCTACCTTGGAGGGGAGCAAAAAGTAAACAATTTTGCTCACAACAACAGGTCGACGGCGGCTCCCGGACCAGCTAAATTGGCCTCGTTAGAGAACGCTAAGGACTAATTTAAGATATTAGCATCAAAGTTTTTATTTCAAACTTAGTCGGTAATCAATCAGACGCGTGTGTGACTGTACCGCGATCTGTGTCTAGGTAGCAGTCCAATGTTATGGCCGTGTCTACGATTATGGAAATTTTATGTCTCTTTGCAAACTGATGAATAACATTAGTCGGTTCTGCGACGTTGATGATAAATAGACTGTGTGTAAATTTCATTTTAGTACTTGTTACCAAAGAATAAGATATAGTTCATAGTGCTTCATACACTCAACATGATAAATTTCACAACTTGTAATTCAAGTAATTTAAGTCCACTCATTTGAATAAGGTTTGTACAAATGAACGAGTAATAAACCTTAACGTGAAATAACGATTAGTGAACCTTTTAGTCGATTTTGTTGGGAATATAAAATATAAGTCACACATTTTTAGATTTGATTTAATAGCCGTTAAAGTACGAGTACAATATGTAGATGAGGAATTTAAACTCGCTGATGTGCAATGTGCAAATATGTGAAAATGTGTATGGGGTCTACCAATAAGAACGTCCTGGTTTAAAAATTGAATAAAACACACAATTTTTTATGAACAATGCATCCGATTGATTTATTTGATAGATAATTTTATGCAATTTATGCTTTAAATAATATATCGGCCAAATGACGCTCACGCCAATTTTCGATGACGAGGTGCACCATTTCGGCCAGTATGTCGGCTATGGCTCGTCGAATGTTGGTTTTTTGGTCACGAATTGTAGCTGGATTATTGCTGTACACTTTAGATTTAACGTAACCCCAAAGAAAATAGTCTAAACGCGTTAAATCACACGATCTTGGTGGCCAACTGATCGGTCCATTTCTCGCAATTAACGACTCACCAACCTTTCCATGCAATAATTCCATGCTCATTCGGGTAATGTGAGGTGGTGTACCGTCTTGTTGAAAATAAAGGTCGTCTGCATCAATATCATCAAACTCCGGAAAGAAATATTCGGTTAACATCGAGTTATAGCGCTCGCCATTCACAGTAACAGGGTTTCCTTCGTCACTTTCAAAGAAGTACGGACCAATGATTCCACCGTACCATAAACCGCACCAAACTGTTATTTTTTGCAGATGCAATGGTGATTCATGAACCACACGTGGATTTGACTCACTCCAATAGCGATTTTGTTTATTAACAAATCCATTGAGCCAGAAATGGGCCTCATCTGAGAAGATGATTTTACGATGAAAATCGTCATCGGCTTCCATCATTTCCAGTGCATAATCGGCAAATTCACAACGGATACAATGGTCGGATGGCTTCAATTCTTGTGCCAAAACAATTTTGTATGGGTGCAGGCCCAAATCCAACCGCAAAATACGCCAGGTGGTCATTGGAGAGAGCCCCAACTCTTGTGAACGGCGTTGAACTGATCGATTTGAATTCGCATCAACACTGGCCTGAACGGCTGCGATATTCTCTTCACTACGGGCATTTCTTTGTGTCACAGGCACAGCAGTATTGTGGAGAGTGAATTCACTTTCAATTTTGTTATTATGCGATTTATAGCGCGCACAGAAGATGCACTATGACGACCGTTTTTTGCGCGAAGCGCTCTTACTGTAGCGGTAGGAGAACGCGAACTTGCGTAATAATTTTGGACAATTTCCAAGCGTTGGTTTAAAGTGAAACGTGACATGATACAATGGCAAACCTTACTGAACACAAATGTCAAGAGACGTCAAAGATCCATCATCAAACATGGCCGCTATGAGCTGTCAAAACCAGGTCATCCCTATTGGTAGAACCAGTATATGATAAATATTAGTGAAATAATATCTGTCTAAGATTATAATCGTAACGCTCTGGTTAAATATTACCTCCATATTATCCTATTTATGAATGGTTTGTTTTTAAGTTTGACAAATTTAAGGTATATAACCTATCCATTAAAACAGAACCAACAAAATTACATTCTATAAAAAAGAATTGTTTTCGTGGATTAAAAATCTTAATACATAATTATCTTTGAGAATAAAACGAATAAAAGTTAACTTACATAATAAGTTTGACTTGTGCAGTGCATATGAAAGTGGCCCCTAGCTAGAAATCTGTTTTCACCGTCGTTGTGTAGCGTGTAAGTAGAGAAAATGAACGGAAATGTATGCGGGCCGCTGTCGGGATGGCGCGGAGGCGGGTGCGGCCCGCACGTGGACCGCAGCTGCCAGGCCCACTGCGTTAATTAGCTAAACGCCTGCCATTCACCAATTATTTTCTTCCAACACAAGCTTTACACCGTGTCAAAAAGTCAAACTATTACAACTTAGTACACAAACTAATACATAAACACTAAATTTTATTAGTTATTATTATTTTATTAATCTCTTCCTTAGTTAGTATTTTCTTTCATTCTATTTTTTTCAGTATGCCGAGAAGTCAAACAGTAATAAAAACCGTGCAAAACCGTGTGATAGGTTTTTACTAAAAACAAAACAAAATTTGAATACAACTTTTGTTTCGGACTACTTACTCGTACAGTCTGAAACAGATATTATTATATTATCATTCAAGATATTGTGAACCAATAAACTAAAATAAGGTATGATCACGTTAATTTACGTAACGCCGTGTTAGCGTAAGTTTGTAATCCATATTTCCATGTAGACATTTAGGGCCCTCTATTTGGCATTTATACAAATTCGTTTTACACTGATTTCCCTTGTTTACCGGCGGTTGCGAGTCAAACTAGAGCGAAGAGTGGGCCGGTGGCGGCGCGGGTCGTGCGTCGTAGATTCGATAAAGCTCGTCTCACAGTTGACAGAGACGGCGCGGCCTAACGAGCGGCGCGGGGGATAGGTGGGCTGCACAGGGGGATGGAGGATGAAGAAGTGCGGTTCCGTGCATGTCTCTGCTGATTGACCCGCGTCACTCGGCAAACAACAACTAACGAGTCGGCCCCGCGCCTCCAGGTACGGTAATTCGCTCGAATCGCTCCCGCGGCGGTCGCGCCGACTTTACTTACACGCCTTCTCTGATTGAGACTCCTTAACAAAATTAACGCTCTCTCACGCAAACAATTGCCGCATTTATCCGCCTCCTTTTGTCCCGATATGATGGATTGCGGTCTCGCTCCACAAAGACGCTGATGATGTTACGTGCTGCTGATTACTATGTACGTACCAAATTAGGCGCCGAGGTGTTACGCTTCGTGTGTACGACTATAAAAGCTGCGGAAGCGTTACATGAACATTAAACCGTCTTAATTCGAATTTTATAATGATTTATGGCGTCTGCTATTGTTTAGATTAAGACATTATATAATAGTATGTTGGTTCGATATACATTTGCGAATGCTACGTTAGATGCTACACAATTCCTTGATTGTGTACAAATGTACCAAATTCTGTGGGATTTCACGACGTCAATCGGACCAAATTATTCGAGCTAGTCAGCAATCAGAGACCTGTCGTAGCACGTAGCGCCTCTACGAGGTACAAGTTTGCGAATCAACGCAATTCATGTTGGAAATCCATGATATTTTTCTTATCAGTGATATCTTAACACAGCCCTTTGTAACTTTCTTTAGGGAATTGTTTTTTTTTCTTTTATTTTAAATAAGGTGTTTGCTCTGTGAATACCTACAAGCAGTCCGTCAAAAGCATTTTGTAAGAATTGAACAAGTATAAACAAAATAAAAATCGCCAACAACTTACACACAAAGAAATTTATAAGAAGTACCTGGTGATTTAAATTAAAATTGCACCGTCAAGGTACAATGTTACTTTGATATCATCAAAGGTACAATGTTTTTTTATATATCTTAATATCATTAGTCACGGAATACTTACACGGAAGACGTCCGGCGTGAGATAGCTTGAGATGCAGTGGAATACAAAACCAAGAAAATGATCCCCGTTACACACTGTACGACCACAAGATCTCTCCTGCGAGCTTAAAAAGCCCAAGGAGCTTTCTGAGATCAACTCACAATATTACGAGTAGCACTTCTCCACAACTAAAATGTGGGCAGCTGAACATCCTGTCCCGGAAGGCTTCATTAAACCTTCAGAAAACCTGCCACCTGGACACCGACTGCAATGGCCAACATGGAGAACATTGAATCGCTTACGTACACAGGATGGTCATTGCAAGAGCAATATGGGGTATAATTAGGGGTGTTCACCCGTTGATACGATGAAGAAGAAGAAGAAATAATACTAAATTCTAAATCGATCAGACCGGTAGAAGTTATTCTTATTTACATAACGATAATAAAATTGTTGATAATCTTAAAACGGCTAAAACGGCTTAAAAAAAATTGTAACTACAATTTCTTTTGTACATTAACCTACCTGCATAATTACTATAGGACCTATTCACGTTGTAATATACAAAATCACTAATAGCCTACTGACCTATATAGTACAGTTGCGTATAAGACGGCAGTCTGTGTACGAGTAACAGGGCACGTCCACGTAGCCGTTGAAAGCAGGTTCGTTAGGGCCGTGCGGGCGCCGTCAATCAAGGCAATTGCTGCTCAATCGGCAATCAGCCGCTCCCGCGCCGCACGCCGCGCCGTTAACGAGACCCCTCTAAAGTACCAACTTCTTCTTATTCATTCTTGTTACCACTTAGATAACTAACGCG